ATAGGAAAGCATACTAATTGATGAGCAAGAATCTAATAAACTGTCATTTTCTTTTTCAGTCTAAGCAATTGTTTTAAAATTTCTGTGTGATCTTGTCCCCTTTTGTGGCTGACACTGCCTTCTAAGTAATTTCCTACCAAAGAAACCATTCTAGTGAGTCTGCCCTAGAAGTAATCAGGGCATCTTTAACTGACCAAAGGAGACAGAGTCAAGGTTTTGGTATGTTCCAAAATATCAAACTGCTCTAATTTCCTACACAATATGTTTAATATTGACATCATACTAGATTAGCAAGCACTTTTGGAATGTAAACTTTACTTAGGACAATAAGAAAATTATTGTATGTATAACCTAGGACTATTAAATGTAAAGATGTCTATTCCACCACATACAAAGCAAATTTCAATGTATTTATAGCTCCATAAGATTGTCAAGACAAATAATTTCAACTGCTACTGAATGTAGCTATTAAAATAAGCAATACAGAATCTCAGAACAAAATTAACTTGGTTTCATCTTACTAGATGAGACAAACACAGTTAAAAATGTGTACTTGTGTGTATATCTTAAAATTTTATTTTTATGTGCTTGTATTTGCTCACAAAACTAATGTGCATATTCAATTCTTTAAAAAAAAAAAAGTCAAACACAACAGAGTTGTATAATGCAAAAAGTGAAAAATCTTCCTCCTCAGTTGTCTTAATAATTATCTTTCTTCTCTAGAGATAACTACTAATTTGACAACTAATACAACAGACTTTTTTTCTATTCATTTATAAGCTTTTCTATATTATAAATATATTTATACACACATACACAAATAGGGTATAGTGTATTGTGTACTTATATATATACACACATATGCACAAAAAGATACTATATATACAGTCTATTTGCTTTTTTCCCTTAATAATAAATATTTGTGTTATTTCCAGTAGGTATTGCTTTGCTTCACATTTTGTCCCTGCTGTGTATTCTAATCCCATAACCCTTTCTTTTAGGAAAACACTCCAAAGAAGCATGAAGAAATAGACAAAGGTAATAAAAATATGTCCCAGTATTTAAAAGAAAAACTCAATAATGAAATTATTGCAAATAAAAGAGAATCAAAGGGAGGCAACAATATCCAAGAAACAGATAATGATGGTGAAGATGATGATGATGATGATGATGATGAAGAAGAAGAAGAAGATGATGATGATGAAGAAGATGAAGATGATGAAGGAGAAGATACTAGTGAAGAGAGTGATGAAAAATAAAAAGAGAAGAGGAATGTGAAATAAAAGAGAAAATCAGAAATGGTGAAAGAAACTGCCAACAGGTAATCAATAAATCATTTGAAAACCAGAAAGACAAACCAGAGGCACAAGAAAAAAGTGAGAGAAAATATCAAAGTTAGATCCTAAGAAGTTAACTCTTGATACCAGTTTTTTGAAGGTAAGTGCAAGGCCTTCAGGAAACCAAACAGACCTGGATGGGAGCTTGAGGCGGGTTAGACAAAATGATCCTGACATGAAGGAACTCAACCTGAACAACATTGAAAACATCCCCAAAGAAATGTTGCTGGACTTTGTCAATGCAATGAAGAAAAACAAACACATCAAAACCTTCAGTTTAGCAAATGTGGGTGCAGATGAGAATGTAGCGTTTGCCTTGGCTAACATGTTGCG